CGTGAAAGTGAATGGCAGTAACTGCACCTTGTCAAAGTTGGGTTTAGGGGTGTTACCCAGTCCCTGGAAGTTTTAAGAGGTTCCGTCATCAGAGCAAGAGCCCCCCCTGACTGAGCCTTGAGCGGGAGCAGCCAGAAAAAAAAGATGATGATCAGTTGAAAGACTGGGAAGAAGTGAGTTTTTGAGGAAAAGTCAATTGCGCCGATGAAAAGGCAATCGATCAAACCCAATCCAATGAGGAAACGGTATATCATGACACAGCATATCAATGGCAACAAACCCCAACAGCCATTCCATTCTGTTCTATTTTCCTCAGCTCAGCTGTCCTCGTCTCTTCCATCCTTCTCTCACCCTCAATTTTGTCCCCATCCCCCCCCCGGTCCCCTCTTGATCGAGTCTCATCTTGACCCGGGGAGGCTTGTTCAAAGGCGGATCATCCCATCCCCATTGCATCCCTCTCGCCCATTCTTCATTCTTCCCTTTCCATTTTCTTGCTTGCCCCTGCACGGATCCTTGCAAAAACGCAAAAAACCAAGCAGGCCGTAGCTGAAGGTAGCCTACAGTAGCCTAGCCCTGGTCCTGTCCCAATGGCTCAGCGGCCCACGTCACCCACCCGCCCGCGCTGACAGGTCACCTCACTCTACTACCTACTCGACTCTAGAGGCCCTGTAAACTTTCCATTAGCGGCTAACATCGTGATTCCAGGGGACCACTTGTCCCATTTCAGTGCCTTCTGGTTCTGGTTCTGGTTCTGCTGCTGGAGGCGCTACTGCTGCAAACGCTAGCAATAGTTCAGCCAGTCCAAGCCCAAGTCCATGTCCAAGTTCAAGTTCAAGTTCAAGTCAGTGCCCGAGCACAAGCACAAGCACCCACCAAGACCAGCGCGGACACTACTTTCGATCCCACCTTCATCAACACGCCAGTTCGGCTTCGGCGCCGTCTCATTCTCATCCTCACTCTCATTCCCACTCCCATTCTCACGCTTCAGTTGTCGCCGCTTACAATTCGGCTCTCAAGAGACCCCTCGTCACTGTTCATCCTCTCTCCGACTCCAATTACGTCTCCTCTGTCTCCTCCTCCTCGACTACAGCATCATCTACACCAACATCATCATACGGCTCGCCCACCACCACCGCAACAACAACCCCGGTCTCGTCTCCAGCCTCGTCTGTCGCATCCCCAACTCCAAGATCGACATCAACATTCGCTACTCACGTATCTGTACCGACCAAACCCCCAAAGAGATCCGTCCACTTCCGCTCTGGCACGACAATCATCTCTAGCGGTAACAATAACAGCACCGCGCCCTATATTCCCGTCCTCTCTGTCGTGCCTCCGCCTGGCCAAGACGGCGGCGACGGAGAGGCAAGACGGCCCGCCATGCAGCGAGTATCTTCCTTTCTCCCCTCGTGGGACAAGAGGTCGTCGGGAGGTTCTAGAGCTGGCCTCTTTGGCTGGTCCTCCAACCGTTCCAGCACCTCCATATCCGTCGCAAACTCCAATGCATTATCCAGGTTAAATACTGCGGCCGCTAATGCCAGTGGCCGAGTACAACGAGAGGCTTTCTGGCCGGCCACTCTGGATCTCGAATGCGAAAAGGCTGCCCGCATCCTCAAGTCATTCTGCAGTATGCTTGCCTCACCTTGCCTGTCAGCCTCATTTTTTGCTAACATGATTACACAGCGGATGGATACCTCGTGCCATTGGAGGAAGAAGAAGACGCACAATCGACGACAAGCGAACCACGCTCCCCAAGACGAGTCACCAAGAAGATACCCAAGCGCATCATCCAGAACGCAGCCGGAATCGCCATCTTTACCTGTATGCGCAGCGGTCTGTACATGACAGGCTCCGGCGGCTCCGGTATTCTCATAGCACGAAAGTCAGATGGTACCTGGTCACCCCCATCAGGAATCATGTTACATACACCCACCCTCAGCTTTATCATCGGCGTCGATGTTTACGATTGCGTTCTTGTTATTAACAACCTTGCCGCCCTCGAATCAATCACAAAGCCTCGTGTCACCCTAGGCGAAGACGTCGGACTAACTAGTGGCCCCCTGGTATCGCTTGACTCAGATGAGTCGCACATAAAATGGAAGGACCTGGGAAATACCGTTCTGACATACCTGAAAGCGCGGGGTCAAAATCAGGTAGTCAACTTGAACGGGTGTATCCTGGCCGAGCGAGGAAACGAGAATGAGCGATTCTATGCCAACCAAGTAACACAGATGGACATTCTGGCTGGTAACGTCGCTCGCCAAGTAGAGGAGGTTGGCCCGCTCTCAGAGGTTATCAAGATGGCAGAAGGTAGGACAGACTACGATGCCTCTGTGATAAGCAAGATCGCTGCGGAATGTGCGCCAGGAGACGCCATGATCGCGACACCCAAATCTTCAACACCCGCCTCGCCTCGAACTGCCTTTGGAATTCCCAATGTCGATGATCCCGATCCCTTTGGTGTGTTGGCCCTAGAGATGGCTGGCTTGGAAATTCGAGAGGCAGGATCAAGACTACGACCTACCAGCAGCCAATTTGACTTCAACCCCGCGCCTACAAGCCCAGCATTCTCAAAGTTCAACAGGCAAAGTATTGACACCTTTGTCTCGAGGAGTAACCGAAACAGTTACATGTCCTCACGAACGGTGAAAAGTCAAATGACGGATGCTGGAACACAGACGGATGTGGGCACAACACCCGAGACAACGCCCAGCCCAGGTCAGAGCGAAGACGGTTTTGACAGGTCTACCCGCACGCAAATTCCCGAGGTCACGGAAGAAGAGGAGGAGGTTGATTACACAAAGGTCGATCTGACCCCTATAAGACATTTGAGCGGAGCCCATACTCCTCTCAGTGCGACCAGCCACAGTAGTACAACAGCTGTGGAACAAGACACCCTCAAAGTCGAGCCCCGGGATGACACTGACAAGGCCTCGAGCAACTATGACAGCGACAGGGACGACAAGAGCAGCCGAAAGACCGACAATGAGGGTGACTCTGAAAGCGAGGTGGAGGAAGATGAGGAGGAGGAAGAACCCGTGGTGTTCGAGGTGGCTGCCGTCCAGCCGGCCAGAACCCAGGCTGTTGCATCCCGCATGATCCATGCCAAGGGTAACATGGTTACCATCGGCAAGAGAATTCCTCCCCCGCTGCCCATGAGGAGCCCTGCCCGGGCCTCGCGATCCAGTAAGAGCGAGATGGGCGATGTCTCAAACCTCCGAAGCCCTCTGCGAAAGGAGGCTTTCAGCGAGGAAGATCTTGCATCTGAAGATGAGCAGACCAAGTCTGACTCTTCACCTTATCTCAAGCCCCAGGAGTTCAAGGTCGAGAAGGTCAGGGTTGAGGCTAAGAAGGCTGAAGAGCCCAAGTCTGAGGAGCCCAAGATTGACGAGCCAAAGGCAGAAGAACCTGAAGCTAAGGAGGCCAAGGTTGACGAGGTCAAGGTCGATGAGCCCAAGGTCGAAGCGCCCAAGACTGTCGAGAACAAGGCCCAAGATGACACGTCTTCCGAATCTGAGGTCGAGTTCTTCCCAGCCGAAGAGGCAAAGACGGACATTGCCAAGACCGAGGAGCCTCAAGCACAGGAGCCTACTACCGAGCCCGCCAAGATCGAGGAGCCAGAGGAGGAGGTTGCAACTGAATCCAAGCCTGAGACCAAGGATGCTCAGACATCACCTACACTTCCCCAGACTGAGCGGCCCGAAAGCCCTGTGACACCCGAGAAGAAGCACACATCGTCTATCTACACTGGCGTTACTGATGACCGATGGAGTGTCGATGGTTCTACACTTACAACACCTACATCTGACCGACCTTTCTCAGTTATTGACGATGTGACTGAAGATGTGACCCCGCGGAAGCCATCAAAAGAGGTCGAACAAACCAAGGAGGCTGAGCTAACTGAGCTGAACGAAAAACATGAAGACTTGAAGAAGATTACATCGAACGAGACAACTCCCAACACGATCACGGTTGTATAATTGAGGATGACGAACGATGGTTTTACATCAGTAGATGTGATATGGCGCACGACCTACACTTTTCATGGGTAATTACTGGGCGGCGGCTTTTTTGAGAGAAGTTTCTTTTTTGCGCATTCTTGTCAATACTTTGGTGAAAATGTACGTTATGATGGGATATTTTTGTGTTCAGGGGTCGATTTGTGGCCCCTGATGGCGTTTGTTGGGTTGGTCATAACCACTTTGTCAGTTCTCTCGAGCAGCGCATAGCTTATACCAGCTCGAGGAGCAAACTGATGAGAAGAGGAATGGGTATTGGTCGATGTACTGGATGTGTCATGGGATGGGAAGGATGAGACGAGACGAGTAAGGCTTGAACATATGGATAAAAAGGAAAGGATCCTTGAAGAACGCAAGTGATCCGTGTACCTGGAGTTAGTTGTGGTTTCTTGGAGGCCTGACCTGGTATAGTCTAGAGGTCAGACTATGATAAAGTATTATTCCTAATGCCATTGAATAGATACAGTATGAACTGGCTTGATTGTTCCCTACAATTTATTGTGAATGAATGAATGAATGAATGAATGAATGAATAAAGTGTCAGAGGTGAATAGTCTGTATTCTTTGGTGGCACTGCTCTGCACTGGCAAGAATTGATAGTGACAGCAACAATAGCTCAATTGTTCATTCACACCACGTTCAGGTATTTAAAAGTACATCTCGAGACAGAAATCTACACCTCGTCAAGTTTGAGTCTCATTTTGGCTTCTTGATACTATTTAGTAGTAGAGCACGTTCTGAGCAAGTTTTGAGTCTGTCATGATGGTCTATAGAACCCCAACCAAGCAGCAGCGAAGAGACAAGGGCGGTCACGTGCACCACGGCGCTCAAGATGCTGCGACGACACCAGCCACATTCACGCCTACGCCTGTCGCGTCGTCCTCATCCCGGTACCAGCTCCGGGCGCGCAAACCTCGAGAAGCGTCGCCAACACCAACACCAACACCAACACCAACACCAACGCGACGAAACAACGGCTCAGTAACGCCATCGCCACATAAATACCAACACCAGTACAACAACAGCCTCGATCTCGGTGCGAGTGCGAGGAAGCGGAATCGCACAATGTCAAGCACGGCCGGCAAATGGCGCGAGGAGCAGGTCCTCATCATCTGCCCCGGCAGCAGAACCACTATGGCTCAGCTGGGTTGCAGTGAATTGACTCCTCCTGCTCGGCGCATGCCTACCAGGATGTTCAAGGATGGCGATCAGTGGGCGCCCTATCACAGGACGAAGCGCACGACTATTGTGAATGGCGTTGAGGAAGACGAATGGTTGGAGGATGTTGACGAGGACGAGGGAGCTGTGTACCCCATTGAAGGTATGTATATGTATATACAGACAGCCATTGAAAGGCGTGCTGTGCTGAGCTGAGCTCACTGCTAATTGCGCATCTTTGTAGCTGGTCGCATCGTCAACATGAGCGCACTCCTCGCTTTCCTCGATCATGTCCACGGCTTGCTTACAACCACATACCACAACACTCCCATCATGCTCATGGCTTCACCACAATGGACACGACCCGACTGCGAGACAATTGCCCGATACGTCTTTGAGAACACGAGAACACCCGCGCTATGCATAATCCACAGCGGAATCGCTACCCAGTATGGTCTGAAGTGGCCCAACTTGACTGTGGTGGATATTGGCTACCAAAAGGTCGACGTTACAGCAATTCACGATGGACGAGTTGTAAACCACATGGATGTCAGCGCGTCCGATGCTGATGGTGAAATTAGCGGAGGTGAAGTTTTCACAAAGAGCTTGCTCAAGTTGCTAGAAAACAAGGGCTTCAACCATGATATGGCGGAGCAGCTGAAGAAGAGCAACATCTGCGAAGTCCTCCCCTACGTCGCCACCGAGGAGAAATTGATGCAACTTCCCACGGAGAACACTGCAGGCGCAACAGGTGGGCAACCAGCTTCTGTCATTGCCGAGGCTGCTGCAAAAGCCCCTGAAGCACCGAAACCCACAGACAATGGAGATGATGATGAGGGCAATGGTAACCCAGAGGACGATGGAGTTCTGGACGTTGCAGCCATCGTTACGAGCGGGCAGACCAAGGAATTCCTCGCTAAAAAAGAGAAGGAGAAAGAAAAGGGCAAGGGAGGTCGAAAGAAGGGCGATAAGGATGCCGACGGCGCCGCTAAAGCTGCACGTCTACCCAACTCCAAGAGGACTCACAATACCTTCTTCTACGAGGAAATCATCCAGGAAGAGGTCCCCCAACCACCCAAGGAGAAGGAGACTGTAGAGACTGCTGCGGCCACTACCAATGGCAACGGCAACGGCACAACAGCAGAAGCCCCCAAGCCTGAGGGCGAGACCAACGGAGCTCAGCCTCAAGGCGACAACACCGCTGCGCCTGCGACAGAGACAGAGACAGAGACAGAGACAGAGAAACCTGCGACAGAAGCGCCCAAGCCAGAACAGACTCAAGAGCCAGCGCAATCGATAGAGCCCAAGCCCGAGGCTGAGCCAAAGCCTGACGCTCAACCCTCCACCGAGACCCCTGAGAAGCGACCAAAGCGCATCCGTCGAGATGTCGAGGTTGGTCTTGAGCGCTTCACTTTCGCTCAACGTCGCGAGATCGATCGCATTGTCAGCGCCATCTATCGCACTGTCCAGGGCATCGACGACATGTACATGCGACCTCCATGCTGGGACAACCTCGTCTTTGTTGGCAACGGTGCTCGTCTCCGCGGTCTTCGCGAGAACATCCTCCAGACCCTCAACGCCCGTCATCTCGTCTCCCCATCCACCGCCACAATGTTCACCTCAGAGCTGCCCTCTAACATGGCCACGCCCACTGGAACCGGCGCTCAAACTCCCACCGGCTCCTTCACAGGCGCGCCTCACCAGCTCTCCTCAAGCGGCGTGAATCCCCTCCTCCAGGCCGCTACCACGGCTGCAGCTGCTGGCACCGCTAATAACATGGTCGGCACGCCGCAGCCAGCTTCTGAGGCTGGAGGACCTACGACGACTCACCACTTCCACAGCCAGACTCCCACGAGCATCAAGACGGCTACTCTGCCGAACTACCTGAGCGAGTGGACAAAGAATGGCTTCGAGGAGTCCATGTTCCTTGGTGCTCAGGTCGCTGCTCGTATTGCGTTTTGCCTACACTCCAACATGGATGCCCAGACCATTGAAGCCCAAAGGCTCATGAGTTTGAGCAGAGTCGATTACAAGTAAGTCCCCTACCATCTACAACCTCTCCAACAATTTTACTAACCTGTCAAAGCGAACTTGGTCCCAAGGGTATTCGCACACATTCTATGTTGGGCTGAAATCGCACAATGAGCTGATAATTTTATGTCATTATACGGGTTTCTCGTTCACATGGTCTCAGCACAGACTTTCAAATCGTGGACCTGAAAGAGGAGTTATAAAGGGGCCAGCGACATGGTAAAAGGCAGACGCAAAATGAGTCAAGACTTGAAGACGAGTCGAGGGGAGCGGGTATAGCAGGCAGAGCACAAATGAGATAATACCATAGATTCGGACATGCCTTGTATGATTATACACAATCAGTTACTCAATTAGAAGCTTTCCATGAATCGAAATTTGCTACAGTTGAGTACACCAGGCATAGATATTTTCAACTTTGGCTAAGGTATCACATTAATATTTCAATGTTATGCACCATTTCCAACTAAAGCATTATCACGACCCCCATATAGTCGTCAGCATTCGTCGTCAACTGTTCCCCCTTTTCCTGTAACCACATGTCATAAACCACTGCATAATTCCACAGTACTTGCTTTGGCTCCCGAAATGCAAGACGATCAAAGACCAATAAGAAATAGATAATCAAGGGCATACGCCACTAACCAGCAGCGTTTCGAAGGGCGGCTTCCTCGGCAGCTTTGTGCCAGTCGGTTCGGAGTAGGTAAATATACTCAATCGATGCGACGCTTTCATACAGTTAGAAACATTGCTTCCAGCACGAGGATGTTTCAACTTACGACATAGTTCCAACCGTGACACCGAGCCATAGTCCCTTCAGTTTCCAGTCAAGGCCAAAGGCCAGGGCAAGCGAGCACGGAAGAGAGAGGGCGTAGTACGCGATAATGTTGGCAGGGCCGCCAATCGACTGCTTTCCAATACCTCGGAGCAGTCCGTGAGCACCTGCTGCAAGACCATCAAAGACTTGCATAACCGACACGATCGGCATGACTGCTGCAACAAGATCAATAACATCGTCGTCCTTGGTGAACAACAGCGGTAGCTGATAGCGCAGAGTTGTGTAAAGAGTCAGGTTGAACATTCCGATGATACAAGCAGCAACAAAAGCCTGGACCTCATTAGCCAGACAATATCAATATTGGTTTAAACATAAACTTACCACGACACCAGTCATCTTGGCAGGTTCAACAAGACCAGCACCAATCAAGTTGGCAATACGAGTTGAGGCAGCAATTGACATAGGGAATGGGATCTCGTATGAGAGTGTTGTAATGGTTGTCACCACACTCTGAGCAGCAAGATACTCGGGGCCAAATCGGCTTGAGAGGAGCGTGAGGATCTCGAAAGCCAGCCACTCTGCCTCGACCATGATCATACCGGGCAGAGCAAGCCGAATCATGATCCACCAGTTGCTGAGAGCCCGTCGGCTAAATCCGCCCCAGCATTGTCGTCCATCCACGAAGCGGACATACAAGAAGAGGAAGATGGGGAGAAGGTTGGTACTGATGGCCACAGCTGTAGGAGCTCCAATGAAACCCCATTGTAACTTCCAAACCAAGAGCCAGCTGAGGAAGACGTTGAAGGGTGCAACAATCAGGAGAACATAAGTCGTAGCGCGGAAGAGACCCTGAGCTTGAGTAAATCGCTTACCACCCTCAAACAGGATGAATCCCGGAATACTGAAGATCATGACCCTGAGATACATACCAGCAAGCTTTGCCGATTCGGGTTCTGGTACAATGGCTCTAATGATACCTTCGGAAAAATACCACAGACCAGCGACAGGGAAACCGAGCACGAACAAGAAACAAGTCATTCGCTGAAACTGAAGCCCAACGAGGTGCTTATGGCCAGATCCATATGCTTGCGCGCATAGAGTGTCGAGAGATGTAGCAAGGCCCTGAAAAGGCGCCAGACAAGTAATAGCGGCGGTCATGTTGGCCACTGATCAAGTTAGTCTCGATTTGCAGTTATTTCGCGAACATCCAACTTCAGACTTACATGAAACAGCACCAAGCTCGAGCTTGCCAATTCGCCCAACAGCAAAGATACTGGTGACATTAATGGAGTATTGCAACAAGAAGGTGACGATGAGTGGTGCGGAATAGGTCATGATGGTCTTGGCCTCTCGCTGCCAAGTGGTCTTGATTCGATGTTCAGCAACAGCGTGCTCCCAAGTATCGTTGAGGTGCTCGGGTAAAAGACCGTCATCACGGTGACCCAAGAGAGGGTCTGTTTCGCCAGGAGGCTGCACAGTTACAGCAGGCGTCTCTTCTTCATCCCGCGCAATCTTTGTACTAAAAAGACGACGATAGATGCGAGTAAAAAGCCCATGCTCCTGTCGATATCCGTGCTTTGGGGGAAGAACATGGTTATCTCGTAGCAAGCTACGCTCAGCATTACGAGACTGTTTTCTCTCTAGAGCTGTCAGGCCTGGCTCATCATACGTCTGAGGGTTCATAATGGGTCGTGAGCCTCCAAAAGCAACACCACTGGGTCGACGGTACATGATGGGGTCGCCCTGAAGGTCCGACACAGAGACATCGTCGTCAATCGCGTTGTCTTCGAACTCGTCATCCGAGCATGCCGCAAGATCTGCAGCCAGAGCAGCCTCAGCTAGAGGCGAGCCCACACGCCATGAAGATGATAGCGCAGGATGTGCGCCAGCGCCACGAGGAGTGCCATAGGGCGAGACTCCAGCTCCTCGTCCTATTGGATCCATGTCAACTCACAGTCGCCTCAGCTGGAATCTTTTCTTCAGGCAGATGAAATTTCAGACGACAATTCTGCAAGGATCACACGAAAGAGACTTCTTCAGAGTGCAACAAGGGACGCCACTCAGTCAAATGGTGGAGTGGGAAAAAGTTGAGTAATACAAGGTAGTCAATGTGAGTTCAATTGTGCTGTCAACCCCATGCATTGAGATCAATGCGCAGATGGCAATCGTGAGGAGGGAGAGAGAGAGGAACAGAGAGGAATGAGACTAGATAAGAATATGAGGAGGCTGTATAGATATGTCGTTGTAGTCAAATCACTAGGCCCGATTGAAAAGAGGCAATAAAGCCGATTTTGCTGTTAGTCTGACTTTGCCATTCGAGTTAGCGTTAACTCAGACCCGCCTTGCCACAGCAAAGGGCGCCTTTGAATTGCCGTAAAGGCGGCTGACCCTGACTTGGTGGAGTCTTACCGCTTCTGGTCAAAGACACGCATCTTTCGATTCACAATGTCGTGATAGGCGCATTGTACCTCAGCCTCTCTTTGACATGATGCGGGGGTGGATCGTCAAGAAGGGTCGTGGTTCGTGATGCCCAGATCTGGGATCATGGTCAACGGCGCATCCCGAGCTTGCATGGGTGAGGGTTTGAGTTATAGTTCGTTCCGTTGCAGATATCTCGTCCAAGTCGATTGGCCCAAATCCTCGGCCAAGCCTATCGGCAGCCTTATCATGACTCCAATATCATGAACTCCATCTAGATCCAAGTCTGACCCGCCCAGTCAGGCTCTGTATGGGACATTGACGCAACCCATGGTATCTCCTCGCTTGCGTAACGTTGTAGTGGAGTGTTGTACGGCATTCGCAACCCAACTATTGATTTGCATTCATACTTCTCGCCTGTACTTTGTATATTTTCCGGCATGTCGGTCTTGAAAGTGCCCATCATGATCGAGTCTTGTTCTATCAATTCTGGCCATATCAAGACACCAATCTCCCAAGATGCAATACGAATTTCGCCTGTTGGTCTGGCTGCTTCACCCCAAGCTTGTTTTGAAATATTAGCTGACGTTAAAAGACCCCAGTCTATAGACGATTTGTTTGACCGAATGTACGTCTTGATATGCGGTGCTGCCCTTTTGCGGCCACTATCTCGCAAAGGGGCGTCTTCGGGAAGTTCTGTGAACCATTAGGCAAAAAGTCCAAGGACTACGTAGAGGTTAGACTCACTAGCACCGCGGGGTGAGTCATTGGCCCAATGATGGAAAATTGGGCGGATGTACTCCAATTGCTTTGCCTGCTGTGATGACTGGATTTTGGTATGTATTGAACCCCCGGAAGAATATCCGTCCAAGGACCTCCGAATCTCATCAGCTGTAGGAAAGACAACCTTAAACCTGGGCCGGCCAAGGCCTTGGTTTTTAGAACGAGTCAAAGGCTCAAACAGAGTCTTTTGTAGCCAATCATCCTTTGCACCCAGCGTGGCAATAGAAGAAACTTGTACAACAATATCTGAGTCACCGTGATCTTGGCATGGTACATGTTGCAGGCACCTTTTCAGAGCCGCCCAGCCCCAGGAAGTTTCTGACATATCTCGGGAGTCGTGCTTTCCCGGCACACTCGCAACTAGTGCAGCTTTGATACTGGAGAAGTCATGGTGTGTAAGCTTATCGGCTAGTGGTTTGCAGATGATCTTACGTCTATCATATGCCTTTAAGTAGTTGAGAAGATCGATTTTGAAGCGTTGTCCGCTTCCAACAGGATGATCTTCCGGTGAATCTTGAATGCTTTGTGACCCTGACAGTTTGGGGAGTAAGGGCGATTTCCAGACGCCGTTGGTCATGTTGGTCCAATCTTTTGGAATCATGTTGGCAGTATGGATGATGATTTGAGCAGTGTCATCATGTCTGCACAGAATCATCATTTTCGAGTGATGTGTTCCAAACATTTCTGGCATAGGAGCAATATGGATTTTGACGTTTTCAAATTCCGATGCTGCGGCCTATAGAGAGTTAGGACGTGAAGACATGCCACTCTAGCTTTTGAAGAGACCATTCAGTTTCATGGCCCGATCACATCCTACACTTACCTCCAACGCTATCCTATTCACATCTTCACGCTTCCAGAAGCCGTGCACTAGGTGCACCTTGACGAGATGGCGTGTGTCGGGGTCGAAAGAGTTCATGAGAAACGGAATATCGTGTAGGAAATTGAACTCCCAACACTCTGAAATGAGAGGATCGCTAAGGAGGTCCTTAAGAGTCACGGCATCTTGATTGTCACCCTCTGAGAGATCATGAATCCAGGTCAATTGCCACGGGGACTTCACGACGGTTGGTTTCCGGTCCCTCTTTTTAGGGGGAGTTATAGAACGCTGCAGTGACTCTGGTGTGTGAGCACCAGGCTCCTCCATTCGCTGGCGTTTGACTGGACGATCCATTGGGGTAGTTTGGTGGTATGGCGTTGCTGAAAGAACCTGTGGATGCTGGCTGGCTAGAGGAAGACCCTGACATGTAGGCGTGAGATTGATTTGCGGGTAACTTTTTGATATGATGCGCCGACAAGGGCTGGTTGAGAATCTCGAGATCAGTCGAGAAGGTGTTGGTGAAGCAATCGTCATGTATGTACGAGGTCGGGAAATAAATTGATTTGTGTATCTCGGAGAAATCTCTTGAACGTGAAACAGATGTTCGTGTGCTGCTCAAAGTCTTTTGAGACTGAAGATTGAGTTGTGAAGAGAAGACGTTGATTTTCAATTCGATTGCTCTGATGGAGGTAGTTCCATTGGTGTCTGGCCCGTTGAGGCTGCTTCCTTCCTTGTCGTTGATCAGAGTGGGCGGAACATCTTAGACTATGCTCTTGGCAGTCAGCACCAATCACTCACTGTAAAGGCTGGAGGGATAGCGAATGGGGTCCTATATGTTGTTCCGATTGAGAGCTGTATAGCTCTGTTATGCCCTGCCAAATACTGCTCTTGGTGAATTTATACGGCAACAACTAAGGTAGGTAGGTATCCTACCTATCGTAGACATGTTCCCCATCATCTCTAAACTCACCGGTAACAAAAAAACACCCCAAACCAAACAAAGGCAAGCGTCCCAATTTAGAGTGGAGTGGCTAAGCAAGGGCCTCTCCCTCTAACTATCCCTGTGGCGTGGCGTCGAATTCCCATACGGAACGTGTTCTCGAATCGAATGCGCCTCCTGAATAGCGACTCTTTTGTCCTCCTTTATTATCTATCCTCTTCCTATCTTGTCTATTCTCATTTTTTGCCCCTCATCAGCATCATCTCCTTTCGCGCCTGGTGAGCGTGACTGTGTGATTGCTTTTCTGGCCATTTCCTTCTTGATCTTTTCCGTATCGCACACCTTCAGCTCCTCAGCCTCACCCCATATGATCGCCAGTCGCTAATTGCTCGCTCTACTGCCTAATCTGGTTCGACCTTGCTTCTCTGATACGGTTACGGCCTCGACATATACTTCGATTGTTTGCGACGTGCGGTCTCTACAATATAAGCCAAAGTTACTCTGCGCATAATACCTTGGCGCCCCTAGCCCAACATGCGCTTCTCGTCGCTTGCGATCCTCGCTGGGCTGTCAGCTGTAGCTCTGGCTGAAGAGGAGAGGAACCCAGTGACCGACCCTACGACTTTCAACGGAAAGTCAGTACCGCCATTCAAGGAGCTGACACCATCGAACTGGGAGGAGGAAACAAAGAAGAATAAGTTCTGGATGGTCAAGCATTACAGGTATGTTGAGCTGGGTAAGAGTATAATTCATATGCTTATGCGTTGTCAGTCCGTACTGTAAGCACTGCACGAGATTCGCTCCAACGTTCCAGACACTCTACGAATTCTACTACACCTCGAAGCCCCCGACCGAAAACCCCGACGATACTTTCACAAAGTACTACGATTTCGCATTCGGTACGGTGAATTGTGTTGCCTACTATGATTTCTGCATGGACCACAACATTCAGTCATACCCGACGACGATTCTCTACGAAGATGGAAAGGTGTTCGACACCCTGCGAGGAATAAAGAACATGACAGCGCTGACTACCTCGGTCGAGAACGCGCTTTCCAAAACACATCCAGGACGTCCTGCACTCGTGGAATTGCCCCAGCCTGGTGATACTGTGTACCCTGCGCCCAAGGTTGAGGAACCAGCCGCCGAGAAAAAGGTCGAAGGAGCTCAGGGAGATGCTAAGGTTCCAGTGGAAAAGCCCGCCGTTAACGCCGAGAAGCCCCTCGACGCCGTTGCTGAAAAGCCGGTTGAGGAGCCAGCTGGTAAAAATGCGGGCAAGTCTCTGGACGACATTACCGAATCTCCCAAGGATGCAGAGAAATCTGACAAGACCGAATCAACCGAGAAGAAGCCCGAGGAATCTGTTGCTGCTAAGGACGAAAATAAGAACACGTTTGGCGCTGATTGGAAGGTTCCCAGCACAGGCCAGATGCTGAAGAAGACCAAGCCCAAGGATACCATTCCCAAGTACAATTTGGAGGGCACAAGTGTGCCCCTGACTCCTGAAAACTTTGACAAGTTGGTCACAAGCTCGAAGGATCCCTGGTTTATCAAGTTCTATGCGCCTTGGTGCTCTCACTGCAAGGCTATGGCCCCCACATGGCAGCAGTTAGCCAAGAACATGCAAGGAAAGCTCAACATTGGCGAGGTGAATTGCGAAGCTGATCACAAGCTTTGCACACAGATGGGCGTCAAGGCATTCCCTACCATCTATTTCGTCACAGGCACCGAAAAGGCTGAATACAAAGGTCTTCGTGGAGTTGGCGATTTCGTTGCCTACGCCGAGGGTGCTCTTGAGGTTGCTGGTGGCGTTATTGATGTCGATGCCGAGAGCTTCAAGGAGCTCGAGAAGACCGAGGAGGTCCTGTTTGTCTACTTCTATGATCATGCAACTACTACCGAGGACTTCAAGGCACTGGACGCCCTCCCGCTCAACCTCATTGGCCGTGGCAAGATCGTCAAGACAAGTGACACCGAACTTTG